TGGTCTCAATTACTTGAAAGCCAAAGACCTGTGCATAGAAAGAGAAAGAGGCTAAATTCTTTCCCTTTTTTCTTCTTCTCTGTTCTTGATTACCGTCAGGAGTAAGGGCAAGCCTGCAGCTTCTAGAGGGCACTCAGATGACCAAATGAAAGAGATCAGGATCAAAAGGGGGGAATCTGAAAATAATTTGTGAAATAATGCTTAGGGTCACAAAAAGGCTGACACTGTAGCTCAGAGGTAAGTGGGAGGGAGAGGGAAGAGAGGAGGAGGAAGAGGAATCAGGGAGAGAAAGAAAAAAGGAGAGGGAGTGTGGTGAGGGAGAAAGGGAGGGAGAGAGGGTGAGCAAGAGTGCATGTGTACCTCTGGAGAGAGAGAACTGACTGGAGAGATGACTCAGTGTGTAAAGTCTAAAGAAGTCTGAAGATCTGAATTCAGATCCCCAGAAGCTGGGCAAGGCAACTCAAATCTCTAATTCCGAGAGGTTAAGAAATCCCCATAAGTTTCCAGCTTGGTGTATGGGATAGGTAGCAAGAGACCCACACTCAAGACTTTTCTCTGACTTCCATATGCACACTGTGGCATGTGCACCCAGCCCCTCAAACTTGCACACACATGCATGTACACACAGATAAAAGAATGAATCACTCCAATGACAAAAGTTCTATTTCTACATTTGAGCTACTATATTAATTCTTACCTTTAAGGGCCTGGAGGACTTATACCAAGATTTTTAAAACAAAACAAAAATAAATAAAGCAAAGACTATCTATGTATTAGCATATGAAAAACTGAAACAATTTCAGTGCACCTTGAAGATTATTAAGTACAAGAAATGAAATGCCATTTCCATATAGGTCATAGAAATACCTTCACAAATGCACATTTATATAGGTACTAGGCTATTTATCAGAGCATCATCTGTTTTAAGAAAGTTGTTCAAGACAATTAAAACATCACTTAGAGATACAAGTGAAACACATGAATATTCATAAAGTGAAGCTATAAACTATACACCTTCTAAAAGCACTTTTTAAAACCATATATAAAACCATCTACCACACATGGTAAGTGAAGCAAAGCAAGGCGGAAAACTGGATAGTTTGTAAGCATTCCAATAAAGAAATAGACCCATTTTCTTCTCTCTGTAGACAAGCTTGCAGGAAGGAGACAGGGAAGCAGAGGAGAGTGGCAGCTTCCCAGGGAGAGTACATCCAAGTGTGTCTGTGTGGTGGTGGGGGGGGGTATAACGACAAAACAGCTCACTTTTCAATGGCTTTTTAGTCCCTTTAAACATTGTTCATGTGATGACTTCAAAAAAGATTTTGTAAAAACGCTAAGAAACCCTAGGGTGACTCAACAAATTACTCAGCTCTGTTCAAGTGACAAGACTCTGCTTAGTGAACCAAAGCTTTTGTTTTCCCTTTAACACTCTATGTTACAAACAACCTTTAGAAAAACTTGGAAAATTCATTCTTGGTTTACAAACCATCTCCACCCAGTGAGTCAGCTAGTAAAAGGGTGAGTCTATATGAGTCTCTCAACTGGCGAGAGTCCTAAGAAGTTGAGGGTGGGGGTGGGGAACGGTGTCGACAAACATGGAGGAGGGGAAACAGGAAATGTGACTTAAGTCAGGCAAGAACAGAAACAGTTTTCCAAAAGCCGCCTCTAGGTTCCGGAAGGGCCATTTAAAGCAATGACTGGGAATAACAGGGAAACACGGCTTAGTTCTCTGCACAGGAAGGTAGCCCTCTACTCAATCATGAGGACTAAAAGGTGGTTTAAGTTTGCAGGAGCAAAATTATTTACTCAGCTTGCCTCTAATGTTTTCCTTGCCTAAACGGTAGCTCATTATACTTGTACTGTAATTGGGACAGATTACCTTCTCAGAATGGCTCGCTATCACCTGGCAGCAATTAGGGAATGTAAAGTAAAGGATAATAATAAGATATGCGCCTTTTCAATTGTCCCCCGGTTTAGCCATTCCCCTCTGCATCTTGGTTACCTAGACATCTGATATGGTTCAAGGACTAGGAAAAAAAAATCTAGATTGTTACTTCCTAGAATAGTTTCCAAGAATTTTAAGCCAGAGCTTACATATCGAGGTTGTGAATTCTGTTTTAGGTGTCATTAAGCACAGCACAAATTCCTCAAGTTCCCCTAAATTTGCTGTGTCACCAAAAAGTCTAGTCTCTAGCCAAAGCCAGCTTTCGGAGCTGTTTTGTCGGCCTTCTGGCAAGGGCTCCCTTCACCAGGGCCATCCTCTGGCCTCAAGCCCTCCACCTGCAGCCCACCTGACCGAAAGCCGGGTGCCACTGCTCCCTGGCATCCCACTCTAAACCTAACAGTGATTTACCAACAAGCCTTCCCAGTCCTTCCGCACGCGGGGAAAGCATGCCCAACCCACCCCAGCACCCAAAACGCGTCCGAGTCTCCGCCACTCAGAGGCCCACCCCGTTAGAACACGCGCGGGCCTCCACGACTACGGCTGGAAGGCCAGACCGGAGACTGGGAACGAGCTGACTGGCCGGAGGAAGAACAGCAAGGGGAGGGGGTGCGAGTCCTCACCTGAACAAGAAAGCAGCGTCACACCCTAGCCCGTTTTCCTGCAATATGGAGCTAGGGAGGGCCAGAGGGCGTGGCGCATGGGCGGCGCGAAGATGCTGGCTGTCTGGACCGCCCCCAAGCTCGGGCGGGACCCTGCGCCCCTCAGGTGGCTCAGCTGGTTCTAACACGTGTCTTTTACCTCGGCGAGTTATATCTACTCCAGGTGGTGCTCCCGTAAGGAGAAAGCTGCAGTTTTGGGTCCCGCCGCTCGAGTGGGCTGAGCAGAGGAACTCAGATAGCTCCAGGCCTCAGGGTATCCTGAGAACCTAGAGCGAGTTTGTTTCTTGTGACTATGGGGAATTGTGGGTAGACGGAACTGGAGTTGAATTAAGCAAAACTAAGCAGAGGTGAGTTAGTTCAAAGTTCTTCTGGTCCATTAGTGCTAAACTCACTATATATAGAACTAAGTATTTGAGGCACTTATATGGAATGAGAATAAATATATACACACACTGTAATGTGGTGAATGGAGATTACAGGTCAACCAAATGTTCGCCTGGTTTTTGTTTGTTTTTTGTTTTGTTTTGTTCTTAAAAAGGCTGGTCTCACTGGGACTGCTGGACAGTAAGGCAATACTGGCTGGGATTCATGTCTGCATTTTTAGTGCTAGAAATATAGAATTGCACTTGCACATGACTGTGCCAGCTCTCCATCATGGCTTTCACTTTCGCAACAAAAATGTATTTGGGTATGTAAGCCTGAGCATTACTGGTAGGAATTGTTTCTCTTCCTCTACCATGTGATTTCCAGGGATGGAATTCAGGTCATAAGGCTTCAGAGTAAACACTTGAGTCAGTCATGGAGGCAAGTGCTTTCATACCACAGCACACACTAATTCCACTGTACTTCACTTTTTAAAAAAAGTGTATTTGCGTAAGATGTATTTATGCGTGTGGGCACATGTGGAGGTCAGAGGACAACTTGGAGAAGAAGACAGTTCTCCTTTTCTACCATGTACATTTGGAGACTGCAACTTTGTTTTTCAGGCTTGGCTACTAGGCCCATTTACCACTAGGCCATCTCACTGGCCCTAGGTATTTTTACTTACTTGATATTTGAAACATAAAATTTTAAATAAGATAATTTTGTATTTGTTGTTACATCCCTGAAGGAAAAGGTAGCCTGGCAGGTAGGAGTCAAGGAATACCATAGTCACACCACACAACAAACCTTACTGAAAAGATTTAATGGGAAAGATATACTAGGGAAGGTGGCTGCCTTTGTTTGGAGAAGCAGTGAACTGAGCAGAAGGCAGGCTTTATACAGGGTTGCGGGGGGTGCGGGGGGAACAGACCTTTCCAGAGTGGCCAGATTATGAGCTTTTTCTGTAGGGCAGAGCCTGGCCACTCTTCTGTTACAGTAGTCTGTAGGGTGGAAGCTGGCAGCTGGAGGTCTCTAGGTGCTTCATACAAGGGGAGTCTCTGCACATGGCAGGGAAAGCTGCCCAAGTTGGTGTGAAAAGCCAACATTTGTGCTTCTGGTGTAATATCATGAAGATTTATATATTCTAAGCACTTCAGTTCTTCAGATCGCTGATCCATTTTAGAGAGTGTTTGAGGCTGGGTCTTCATATACCTGAAGCTGACCTCAAACTTGCTGTGCTGCCACAAATGAGCTTGAACATCATGATCCTTCTTCCTTCTGCCTCTACCTCTTTCTTTTTCTTTTCTTTTCTTTTTTTTTTTTTTTTTTGCTGTTTTTTTTTTTTTTTTTCCAAGACACGGTTTCTCTGTGTAGCCCTGGCTGTCCTGGAACTCACTCTGTAGACCAGGCTGGACTCGAACTCAGAAATCTGCCTGCCTCTGCCTCCCAAGTGCTGGGATTAAAGGTGTGCACCACCACCGCCCAGCTTTCTTTTTCAATTTTTGCGATAGCCTAAATGTATGTATCTCCTTCAAAATTAATGTTTAAAAGTCTTTGTCTCCAAGATGATGGTATTTGGAAGAAAGGCTGTTGGGAGATGATTAAGCCAAGAGAACACTACCCTAACGTATGGGATCACTGCCAGATCCCATTCCAGGGATCTACCAGGTTGTCCTACCAGGTGAGAACTAAGAAAGGAGCCACCTTCTATAACCCAGGAAATGAGTCTTTACCAGACAACAAACCTTCCAATATCTTGGTTTGTGAAATCCAACAATCTGTAACTTAGAAAAATAAGTATCTTTTCTTAGGTCTTTTTTCCTTTTTCACGCAGGTTTTAGACCTTTAACTCCTGTTACTAGTGAAGCTGAGGCACCTGAGCAACTTAATAACCCCCATCTCAAATAAATGAATGAAAAATTAACAAATTACAAAAAGAGACCTGGGAATGTAGCTTAACAGTAAAGCTAGCATGTGCAAGGCCCTGGGATCAATGCCCAGTTCTAGGGGAAAAAAATCAGAAATGAGTCTGGTTATGTTAACATCCATTGGTTTAGAATCTTTAATTCAACTATGAATAAGGTTTACCCTACAACAACAGGTTTCAACGCTGGCAAAAATCTGACATCAACAGAGTAATTTGATTAAGCTTCCATTCTCCAGGCATTCAGTTAGGATTTGGTTCAACTACTGAAAAATCATCTACTTTTTCTTCTAGTTGTTTCTTATCTAGTTGGCAGGACGAACTTCCAAGAAACATGATGTAGTAGGCACTACTGTATACTGGTTGCTTGTTGGGATTAGAATAGACCTGTTCTGGTTTGAGGGATGCGAAAGGATTAGTTCCACAAGCAATGATATGCGTGTCCAAGTTCACCAGAATCTGCAAAGAGGCTTCCAATTCCTGTTGGCTGGGGAAGAGAGAAGGAAAAACCTTCAACTTAGTGTGAGAGAACAGAAACTGCCCAAGTGCAAGGCAATTCATGATCAATCCTAAAAGTTATCTAAAGCTGTACTAAGCAAGGGCTATTTTTTACTTCCCAAATGTCTCCCCAAATCCCGGATTAGCAAAGGACTGTTCCCAGAATTTTTTTTTTTTTTTTTTTTTTTTTTTTTTTGTAGCCACATGCAGGAAGGAGGAACATCTTCCTAAGACAGGAAGGCAAGGGGAATCAGAATGAGTCTATCTGTATATAGGAAGAAGTGAGTCTGCAAAAGATCACTAACAGAAATAGGTAAAAACCTGTAAACAGTAATCAATGTTGGAATCTCATAGTCACGAAGTAGCAGCAGGGTAGGCAGCCAAGCTTCCATCAAGCCTGGGGAGGCATGGAAACCTAAACAACGAGAATGGGAACGGGAAGAGAGGGAGGAAAGGCTCAAGCACAGCCTAAAAGCACGACATTTCTTTGGTGTTATCTACTCAACCCTCATGTTGTTCACCCCCAGTTCTTGCCATCTACCCAAGTTCTTCAATAAAAAATTCTGAACCAAGGTAATATGCTTGGGAAATGATCAACCAAGCTCATCATTCTACTGTATTTAATGAAGACCAAAAGAAACTAATAAAGACCAAGTAAAAAAAGATTTAAGGAATTTGTCCTGGCAATTTTTTGTCAACTTGACACAAGTAGAGTCATCTAAAGGAGGAAATCTCTTAGAGAGAAAAGGCCTCCCTAAGATTTAAGCTTTGGGCATTTTCTTAACTAATGACTGTGGTGGTTTGAATAGGTTTGGCCCCCATAGAATCATGTGTTTGGATGCTTAGCCTATAGAGAGTGGCATTATTAGGAAGTGTGGCCTTGTTGGAGGAGGTGTGTCACTGCGGGGGGCAGGCTTTGAGGTCTCATATGCTCAAGCTATGACCAGACATATGTTATGACGCACAACACAGTTCCCTTCTGCTGCCTGCCAATCAAGATGTAGAACTCTCAGCTCCTTCTCTAGCACCATGATTTCCTGAACACTGCCTTGCATCCCATCATGATAATGGACTGAACCTCTGAAACTGTAAGCCAGCCCCAATTAAATGTTTGCCTTTATAAGAATTGCCTTGGTCATGGTGTCTCTTCACAGCAAAAAGAGCTTAACTAAGAGTGATTGATGGGGGAGGGCCCAGTCCATTGTAGGAGGTGCCATTCCTGGGCTAGATTGAGCAAAGCATGAGAAGCAATCCGGTAAGCACAACCCAATCATGGCCTCTGCATCAGCTCCTACCTCCAGGTTCCTGCCCTGTTTGAGTTCCTACTCTGACTTCCTTCAGTGATGAACTACAATGTGGAAGTATGAACTGAATAAACCCTTTCCTCCCCAATTTTCTTTTGATGTTTCATCACAGTGATAGAACATAAGTGCAGAATGGAAAATTATCAGCTCAGCATTCCTCGGAATGAACTGTTCTTACCTGGATGGAATGCAGCCACCAAATCTGGATGAGCCAGATTCCCAGTCTCTATCTGCTCCTCCCAGAAGTCATGATATAGGGCCCTGTGGCCACTAAGCTGAATTGTTCCAGGCTCCAGGGGTAAAGATGAGGAACTCTGTAAAAGGTCAGCACCCACATCCACACCCACCATGATCACACGAAAGCCTAGGTGTTTGGGAAACATGTAGCCAAGCTCATCATAATCTCCAGAACGAATGAGAAATGTCTCCACGTGGGAAGCACCAACAACATGCAATGTGCTTCCCCCGGTCTTCCCAACATCTATTGCCAGAGTCCGAAGTCCTAAGCCCAGGGTCAAGGGCCGTGACAGAACATCTGTCATCAACCGCTTCAGAGAGCCATGCAAGACATCTGGGGCTGGCTGTGGCCTCCCTAGACTGGCCCAAAGCATGGTCATAGCATGGCTATCCAGAAGAGCATTCAATGTAGATTCTAGCTGTAAACCCCTCATAGAAAACCAGGTATCCCAATTCTGTATATCTTGAGGCAGCCATAGCCAAGGTCCTGAGGGTAGCACAAAATCACCTGTGGGACAGAAAGAGTTAATAAACAGGGCTGGAGAGAAGATGGCACACTGTTCTTGGAAAGGACCTGAGTTTGGTTTGCAGCAGCCAAATTGGGGAACTCACAATCTCCTGTTATTCATGTTCTAGGAGATCAATCTAATGCCCTCTACTAGCCTCGGGAAGCACTGCTCTCATGCAAAAACTGATAGATATATTTATTCTGCCAACCTATCCCCATTCCTTCTGTTTCTCATTTTCCCCTAAAAATAACATGCTTTTATGTGGTTCCAACTAAGATCATCAATTGCTATTATAGTACAATACCTCAACTTTACCTGTGACTAAAAGCCATTCCATGACACGATCCACAGCCACAAGACGGAGCTCTTGACAAACCTTCCTATGTGCTGGCCAATCTGATCTCTGGCACTCTGTATCACAGTAATAGACATTTCTGCACCTGAGAGAATGAACCAAAGAAGCATGTTCCTATGTCACAAAGATGTCTTTGTGTCCAAGGAAGGGGCTGGCTGCCTACAGCTAAAAAGAAAGGCCAGCAAGAGGTGAGGAAGGCAGTGAGAACGACAGTAACAACCCAAATGCAGAAGCCATGCGGCAGATGAAGCAAATGGATTAGGAATACAGTCGTGCTTAGACAGAGTGCTGCTTCCATTTCCACAGATCTAAAACAACTTAGTTTTTTTTTCCCCATAAAGAAAAAAAAGAAAAGACCAAAAAACCCTAGACATTTGCTGATGCTTTCCCTTACCAGATATGCTTCAACTTCTGCCTTCTCAGAACAAATGTCATCTTACCTTCTGTGTACTCAAGAAGTAGGAAGACTGTTATTTCATCTCCCACAATACCAAAAATAAACAGGATTAAAACTGGAGCCACACAAAATGAGGAACTATTAATTCCTCAAAACACAACAAAAAACAACCAAAATGAGCAAACAACAAACAACAAAAACCCTTAGGCTTGTTCCTCTTAGAATGAGGACTTAGTATAGGGTCATTTCTAAATGTTCCCCTATTGGCCCCCACAAGTCACCTCTTACAGTGCCGGAGAACCTTGCAATTGGAAAGGCCATGAGGGAGTGCTTTACAATAAGCACAGAATCGGAATGTGTCCTCCATCCTCTGGAACATTTCTCGTTGACATCGAAATCCAAAGCTTGATACTGGGGTTCCCCCATCTATCACCAACCTGTAGAGATAGTGTGGAAAAAGGTGCAACAGGGCTGAGCATCTCCCAAGTCTCTTCTGTGCTTCCTCTGTCTTGTATAGATTTTTTACTGTAATCTTAAATGTATCTGACTCCTATGTTTCTTAAGCAAATTGTTTCTTCTATAGTAACATGACTGACAAAGGTCAGAATGAGAAATTCCTAAATTATATTTGTCCAACCTTCTGATATGACTAGTACCAAAGACACTATGCATTTTCCACAGAACTGGTCACTCACTTGTATTCTTCATAGCTTTTTATGTTCAGCTTTTGGAGGATCAACTGGGACAGACCTGGTACATTATTGTCCAAGGAAATGAAACCAAGTGCATCAATGCTAGGGCCAGGTTTTGAGAGGGTTGGAGGCACTGGAGACACTTCTGTGGGTGAGATTTCAAGCATGGGGATCTCTGGTGGGGGTTTCTTGTGTTTTCGCCGTCGTGAACGAGGAGCCATGACCAATGAACTTGGGGACCAGTGCTAAACAGGAATGGAATTTGACAAAATGAATACAAATCTTTCAATGCCTGGCATTTTACTTAGCATTCAAGTCTGAGGCCCAACTATCAGAAGATTTACTCATCAGTTATAGATTACTTACTGGTATAAGCAGTTATAAAATTAGAGGAGACCACTGGGCACATGGTAGCTCATTTCTATACTCATATTTATGAGGCTATGGAATACATATAGAATTCCAGACTAGGCCTAGTTTGCATAGCAAGACCCTGTCTCAAGCAAACATAAGAGAATAATTTCATATAATTTATGTATTGTGTGGTATGTGAAGTTCTACAGACTGGTAAATAAATGTGCAAAGTAAGAAATTAAGAAACCTTAAAAAAAGGCAGTGGTTAAGAACTGGGTTGATCAAAATAGCCCCGAGACTTGCTATGTTTGATTTTTCTGCGAGGCAGGAAGGAACAGTTCATATAGCCCAGGATAACCCCTAATCCCTGTATTGCTGAGGATGACTTTGAATTCCTGATCCTCTTGCTCCAATTCTCAAGTATTAGTACCAAATCCAAGACTGTATTCCTGGCTAGTCTTGAAATTACTGTCTAGTCTAGGCAGGTCTGGAACTTGTGGCAATCTTCCTGCCTCTCAAATATTGAGATTATGAGTAAGATCCATAAGTGACCTTTTTTTTCTTTTTTAATAAGCATCTTTATGGGGGGATAAAATTATATTGTTCTGATTGGAAAGCATATATTTTCTTCTCTTATTTTCCATTTGCATATAGTCTTTTTTTTTTGTTTTGTTTTGTTTTTTTGTTTTTCGAGACAGGGTTTCTCTGTATAGCCCTGGCTGTCCTGGAACTCACTCTGTACTGGAACTGGAACTCACTCAGGCTGGTCTCGAACTCAGAAATCCGCCTGCCTCTGCCTCCCAAGTGCTGGGATTAAAGGCGTGCACCACCACCACCTGGCTTGCATATAGTCTTTTTAAAATGTCTACTTAAGTATCTTTTCCCTTTTCAATATATTTTCTTAATTTTTGAGAATTCCAGGCTTCCATATAATATATTTTGATAAAATCCACCTCTTACTCTTCCCATCAACTTCTTCTGGACACTCCACATGTATATACATACAACTTAGCCCACTCTCAAATTAACTTCTTTCTGAAATAACTCTTTGAGTCCAGTTAGTGGTGCTTGTATGTGTATAGGTGTGGGCCATTCACTGGAACATGAACAACTTTCCAGTGACCACAGTCCCATCAATTGTCAGGAATCTTCAGATACAGGTCAGACCTCCTGAGCACCTCCCCATTTGTGCTAGAATTTTGACTAGATTCATCTTCTATGGATCTTGAACAGGTCAGATAACCACAATCTGTGATTTTATGACTACAACACCATGTCATGTCCAGGAGTCAGCGTTTTATGGCATTTCTTTGCATCCTCCAGTTTTTATAACCCGATGCCCCAAGTCAATGTTCCCAGAGTCTTGGTGGTGTATGCTGTAGCATAGACGATAGTTTTCCCATTTAGGCCTGAACACTCAAAGTCACCTTTTTTTTTTCTTACTTTGACCAGTTATGAATTTCTGCATTAACTACTGTGCACTGCAAAAAGAAGTTTCTCTGACCAGGCTTGGGAGCAGTACAAATCTATGGGTTTGACAGTGTGGACATGTAGCAAAACAACAGTACTAGGTTCCCCCTAGGGCCTATGAATACTCCACTCAGGCTTTTCACTAGATTTACATTACCAGGCATGAATTCTTTCTTATGAAGCTGGCCTCAAATACAATCAGAAAGTAGTTGGTTACCTTCTAATAGCCATGCTACACTCAGTGAGCACATCTTGCCTGGAAGGTCAGTATTTTAGCATTTAGAGCCCACACTGGGTAAGGCCATTGATGTCTTCACCCCCAGCAGACAGCATAGCATCTCTGGGACTATGAAAGCTAGTTAACAGAGAGGAAGTTGCTGAGCCAGTTCTATAGATCTTGTAACCAAAATATGTATTGTCTTCAGCTGTAAGGCTTCAACACCAAGTTAGAATGTACTTTGTCTATTTTTGATTGGGTTATTTGTTATCTGTTGTTCACAGAAGTTGTGTGATAGTTTTGGGACAGTTCTGTGTATCCCTGGCCTGGCAATGTAGACCAGGCTGGCATGGAACTCACAGAGATCAACCTGCCTCTCTTGGAAATATTTTCTTTCTTTGTGTTGTTATTTCACTCTGTTGATGGTTATCTAGCTATCTATACTATTTTATCTTTTTTTTTTTAAGATTGTTTTGCCTGCACCTCATTTATGCCTGTTGCTCAAGGTCAGAAGACAGTGTTGGATCCTCTGGAACTGGAGTTAGTAATGGTTGTAAGCTGCTGTGTAGGTGATGGGAATCGAACCTGGGTCCTCTGGAAGAGTATCTAGTGTTCTTAACCATAGAGCCTCAAGTCATTTTGTCATTAGTTCTCAGATTATTTCTGTCAGTATTTCTCTATTCATCCTCTTCTTTGTATTCAAATTTTCTTTTTCCCTGACTACGTGCATTCAGAGAATTCCCATCTCTCAAGGACAGTTTTAACTGCTTTCATCTCATGAAGTTGCCCAAAACTTATTCTGGAGATTGTTATCTGCTCTGTCATTAGTGCTTTCTAGAAGATTTCATAGTAACTTACAGTTTGTGTCTGATATTCCCGTAGATGAAATATGTAAGTTTCTTCCTGTTTTCAAACGATAAGGTTACTTTTTTGCAGCCTAAACTGATCTCAACCTTGAGATATTTCTGCCTCAACCTTTTACTGAGGTCATAGGTATATGCCTACATTTCCAAAAATATATACTTTTACATATTAGTCTCCATATAGTATTTTACAAATGATTTTACCTGTTTATCGATAAACAAACATTGGGTGAATGTTGTTTTAATTTTTTTCCAGTATGATCCTTTGTGTCTAGGCATAGATAAAAGACAAGGCAAAAAAGAGACTTGGGTATCACAGTCAACTAGATTAATGGATGGATGGTTAATATTTTCCATGTCTAAACCATCATTAAAGAAAATCCTATCTAGAGTCACATCATCTTTTATGTTAGGACTGAAACCCTGCCATTTTGATTCATACATTCCTAGTGAAAAACTGGTAGTTATTTAGCTCAGCCTAGGTGTGCTTCATTTATTCTGCATCCCTGACAAAAAATCTTTGCAATTTCTGGTCTCTGTTCCTCTCATTTGGCTTTCAGTGATTTCATATAATCTTTGATATACTTGAAGACTTTTTTGACGAAGTTGGTTCATGACTATCAACACCAGTTATTATTATTATGCTTTAAATACCTTTTTTGGGCCTTCAGCAGAGGCATTTTGACCAGTGTTACCTTCTGTCCTGCTGACCATCTTGCCTCCACCCCCAGGCATATGTCACAGGACAGCTCATCATAGCCAGTGAGGTCCTAGCGGATGGCTGTGAAGGTAACTAGAGCCATGACACTGGTTTAGAAAGGCAGAGAGAGGAGCCAGTAGAACAGGCTGGCTGAAAGTTAAATTTTATGTTTTATATTTACAATTTTCCACCTGCTGGTAATTTTGGATAGCCAAAACTTGTGTTGCTTTCTGTTCCTTAAGTTAATTTAACAACCTGTGTGCTGAGACAGATATGGTAGCACACAACTAGGCTACATAAGAATCTGTCTCAACAAACTACAAAAAATTCTCTGTCCTTAATATATTAATATATTCTTTTTATGAAAAGATAGGCTGGAGATGTAGTTCACTTGATAAGAGTACTATACAGTAATTTTGAGGTTAGTCAGGAATACAGTCTCACTAAAAGAAAAGAAATAAGGAATGAAGATGGCATAGAATTACTACGTGTCAAAGCAATTCATTCTTGTGTATGCACCTCCAAATAACTGAAAATGGTTATCTAATAAATGTTATGATGTGAACGTTCAGAACAACACTGTCCAGAATAGTCAACTAGAAACTAAAGGTCCAATAAAAATGAATGATGAACACACTGGGATTTATAAGGAGAGGAAAGAATGGGGGAAGGGGTAAACCTGGAGAAAGACAGTAGATTGACAGTTATCAGGGATTGGATGGAAGTAAATGAAGAAAAACTGCCTCAGTTGAGTTTTCTTTTAGGAATGAAAATGTTTCAGATCCAGATACAGAGGTTTTATAACATTGTGACTATACTTAAATTTTTTTAATTAATTAAAAAAACTTTATTTATTTATTGTAAGTACACTGTAGCTGTCTTCAGACACCCCACAAGAGGGCATCAGATCTCATTGCAGATGGTTGTGAGCCACCATGTGGTTGCTGGGATTTGAACTCATGACCTCTGGAAGAGCAGTCAGTGCTCTTAACCACTGAGTCATCACACCAGCACCCCCCCCCCAAAAAAAAAACTTTTGAGAAAGGGTTTCAAGTATACCAAGCTGATATCAAACTTCCTATGGCGATGAGAATGAGCTTCATCTTTGATTCTTCTGCCTCGATCTCATGAGTGTTCCAATTACAAGTATATACTACCATGGTGGGTTTATGAAGGATGAGGATCAAACCCAAGACTCTATACACACCAGGTGAGCACTATATCAACACTGCATACATTATGTCAACTAAACTACATACACAGAGCACTAAATGCCATTCTATTGCTAACTTTAAATTTTTTCATTTCATACGTAAAATTTTCCTCAACCTGAAAAACTTAGGAAATAAATATCTATAGACACAGAGAGGCTAAAGTTATTAATATCCAGGTTTACTGTCTCCAGGGACAAGAAAAGGATAAGAGGATAAAAACACTGGCAGCAGTTGGTTCTACTGCAAACAAGGTAACAGAGTTCACATTAGGGATCATGTTTTGTTATAAAAATGGCCTGACATTTAATCCGTTTTAATCAGATTCGTTAAAGGGAACTTCCAGAATCACGATGCAGCTGAAAAATGTACACAGGTAGCAAAATGAACAAAATATTTCCAGAATCATCAAGCTCATACCCAACTCTATTTTCTTTTTCTAGATCAAAGAACCTTCTAATTTTTTCAGGCCATAATGGGTTGCAAGAGCTGTCATATCCATCTCTTAAACGCTGCTCTTATAAATCTATGGCCTAAAGTTAATGGAGAAATCACCTTCTATTTTTCTCTTGCACTTTCTTTCTCCGCACCCTTACGTTTCTATCCACCTTTCTCTCTCCTCGACCTCTGAGTCAATGTCCATAAAGCAGAGATAGCAAAAGCTCTTCTGAATTCTCATGTCCCTGTTCCAAAGAGTAGATTCCCTTTTGTCTTCATACTTCTGAACTCCATTTCCAAAAACTGACTTGATTATGCCTCTAATTTATCCTTCCTTCCACAATGCTAGGGATCAACTCTAGGCTATACCAAGTAAGCAGTCTGCCACTTAGCAAAACTCCCAGTCTACATACCACCACTTTGTTTATTTAGAGACAGAGTTTCATGTAGTCCAGGCTGGCTTTGAATTGTGTAGCTGAAGGTGGGTCATAAACTTCTATGTATGTAGGAGGGTAGGATATAACTAGACAGAAATTAAAAGCAGCACACCACTTGAAGGAAAAGGTAGTTATGGTAAATCCCTAATATCAAACTTCTCTATGTTCAGAGCACACTGATGACCTAAGTTATAAATGTACTGGCTTTCTGACAGGAAGGTGAGAATATAGGAATGAGAAGTCAGGTCTTTATACTTAC